AATACAATCCAACTCATCAAATTCCAAATGGTACTCCCTCCCACGTGGTGTTTTGTTCCATAATGAAAAGATAGGATGGTTTTTTCCCCTTCTTTTGGGACCAATCCACGTGAGAAGTTATTTAAATTTGAGGCAAAATTCTCTCATTTGCCACAAGAGGGTGGGAATCTAACTTGATTTGACTCGAAGACAAACCATATATAACTAATTTCACACGTTTCCACTCTTATCCTAATATGTACTCCCTACCTTTACGGATTTAAAAAAATTTAAAAGATATTTCGAAAGAATGAGTTCAAAATATGATGATAACTACTCCTAATTAAAATATTAAATTCATAACAAAAAAAAAATAATAACAATAATGCTAATCCTCGTTTATGTACAAAAAGTTCAATGAATCTCTAAATTTTTAGATTAGTAATCATTGTCACGAGAATCTTGAATCTCCCAACCAAGGATTGCCCAATAATAAACTAAGTTTGCAAAGCCTATTCTTATTGTAAAATTATGTCAACGCGCATAAATCAACCAAAAACCTAAAAATTCAATCAAAGTTAAATGAGGTAAATAACAATTTTACGGTAAACAGTTAGAACTTGAATATTTAATTACACTCTTTTAACCTACTAAGTTTAACTAGTTAAAAAATTAGTAACTTTTTTTAAAGATGTGAAGTTTTTGAATCTTCGCTCTAATCGCACATAAATATATATTTAAAATCCGAGCAGAATAATAAAAACATTTAAGCTTTTTACCGAAGCGGCCCTCACGACCAAAGTTAGGTTTGCCGGAAAATGTGGTCGGCTGAGTACAGAATATATATAATAGCCCTCTGGTTTTCATTAGATTTGATGGTGTTCTATCTTTATCATATCATCGTTCGTAGGCTTTTACAACAGGTTTCTACATGTTCTCGACAGATCACAGACATAAGATAAGACAGTTGTGTTGTATTATCTGAATTAATGATCAGAAAAAAATAATAATAAAAAAAAAATTAATGACTCTTAAATTTGCATGCATGTCTGAAAACGACTTTGAAGATTGTGATATGATATATGGTGTGGTGGCCCAATAATCCTGGATTAGACTTTGATTAACAAAGATTTTAAGTGTTTTTTTTTAATTAGTTGGTTAAATTATAAATATTTTCCTTATAATTAGGAGATACTTTCAAATTTGGTTCCATAATCTCTAAAAGTTTCAATGTGATTTTGTTGGTATAATTACGACTATATATATTGAACACATGACGATGCATTTTTTTTTAATTATTTATGTAGCAATGAGAGTTTATATTTTCTATTTGGTTGACTGTGTTCGTCGATTACATTGAAAGTGTGTTCAGTCAAAATCACTCTCAAACACATCCTCAATATAATTGAATTTAACATGTTTAGCAAATAAGAAAATTGATTTCATGAAAGTTTAAAATCAATTTAAATTGATTTTTAAGGCATCGCTTAAATGGTGAACTTGAAAAATCAATTATACTTAAATCTCTTTTTTCAAAATCATTAATTTTATTGTCACTTCCAAACGAACCTTAGAGTTAAGTTTAAAGGATATAAAAAGTTTTTATGTGTAAAACAGCGATTTAAAATGAAGCCAAAGCAAACATAGTTCAACGGACTGGTGTATACCTCCAACCAAAAGGTTAKGAGTACAACCAAAAGGTTGTGCGTTTACCCAAATTAAACCATAAGGATGAAATTTAAACATTTAAAATCATAATTAGGAATTCAAATTTGAATAAAACACAAATCAGGAGGAATTGCCCCTCCGTCCTCTTTCTTAATCCTGTTTGGGCTGTATTTTTAATTGGGTTTGGGCTTTATATATGGTATGGGCCCACTGATCAGTGTCCAGGTCTGGGTTTTCCTTCATAAAGCCGATAAATTTTTCTTTTCTTTTAATTTAAAAGTGGGAATTCAGACCAAGGACTTTTAGGTCGAAAAATATATTTAACAATCGGTTATGCCTAAATTAGTATAGAACTATAAATAATCGATTTTAGGTTGATGATAATCTTTTAAAATAAAATATTCTATTTGGTCTATAAGACATTGGAATACTGTAAAATTAAGCATGGTTTTCAACTGAAAAAATTGGAGGTTTAAATTCCAATGTTAAAATAAAAAAATTGAAAAATGGAAAAAAGTAAAATATCTGACTAATATAATTATAGTTAACAGACTAATTCTCTAGTCTCCAAATAATAAATATCTAGCATTAAATATTGTCTTAATTTTATCCCTTTTGTTATTTATTGCATTAAATTTATCGTTGAAACTTTACTATTTTTTTAGTGGAAAAAAATAGCAAAGATTTTGAACTCCAGTTTCATAGGAGCATAGCTGTCTTTAACTATTATGGTATGCACATTTTAGTAATATAACAAGAGTTGCGAGCCATTTTAAAGGTTTTAAATTAATATTTTCTCCAACTATATCCTATTAAAACAAATGGCCAACCATGAAAGAAATCGAGTGAATTGCTTCAGACCTTATTTCTTGAAAGGACTGTACATGGCTGGTTATACAGGAAGGAAAATACATGGAAAAAAAATGAAATTATTAAAAAAAGATAGCAAAACATTTGCCAAAATTAAACCAAAACACATTTGATATCACAGAGACTCATTAGACATCACATTTAAAATTAAGGAATTTAATAGATAATTTTAGGGTAAAATACATTTTTTGTCTATGAGGTTTGAGGTAGATGTCTACTTGATCCCTGAAATTTTAAAATGAACACTTTTGGTTCTTGAGGTTTGAGATTGGTGTCCAATTGATCCATCAAGTTTCAAAATGAACACTTTTGATCCTTGAGGTTTAAAGTAGATGTCAACTTGGTCCTTGAAGTTTTAAAATAAACACTTTTGGTCTCTGAAGTTTGAGAAATAGTTCTAAATGGTCCCTGATTTTTTTTACTGTTAATTAATTAATATTAAAATGACATTGCAAATTGTAATTAAATGATTATGTCCAGTATGAATAGCGAACGGCACGACAAAGACGTGGTGGTCGTCGGAAAAGGGTAGGAAAAAGAGAAAGGAAGAGATAAGAAGAGATGAAGAGATGAGAGAGAAAAAATATCATCACCTACGCATATATTATTTAATTAATATAATTTGCCACATTAATTAACAGTAAAAAAAATTAGGGACCATTTAGAACTATTTCTCAAACTTCATGATAAAAAATATTCATTTTAAAACTTCAGGAACCAAGTTGACATCTACTAAACTTGAAGGACCAAAAGTGTTCATTTTGAAATTTCAAGAATCAATTAGACACCTATCTCAAACCTCAAAGACTAAAAGCGTTCATTTTAAAACTTCGGAGATCAAGTAAACATCTATCTCAAATCTCAGGGATCAAAAATGCATTTTACTCGTAATTTTAAATTTTAAAGATTTATCATACCAAAATTGAAAATTCAGTATTAGAAGTCGGTTATAATTCATGATAATATATTTAAGTCATTACACAAAAAGATCTTTATCTAATTATTTCTTGCGAGATACATTTTTATTTTATTACATTATAAGGAAAATGCACATGATTTTTTGATAATTGAGATCATAATTTATCATCCATATATATTTATTTTTGTATAAAAAAAAGGGGATTTGTAATGGTGAAGACCGAAAGAGAAGAATGGAAGCATTTTATCTGCTGGGCTCCATTATCTGTACCTTCTTCACCTCTCTCGCCCTCTCCCTTCTCCTCCCCCTCCGATGGTTCCTCCGCCGTCTTTTCTTCAGTACCGCCGCCGGTTCCGTCAGAGGAACGGAATCTGCAACATTATACGAAGGTATAGTCTGGCACGAGCGTAGGCGCCCCGTCCACCATTCTTTCAGGTATGCTGTTCGTTACGCTCTAATTGACCTTGACCGCTCGCCTTCCCCTCCGTCTAATCATCTCTCCGCCGACGATGCTCGCCGAGTAGCTGCTACCTCCGGACCTGTGTAATTTCTCGATTGCTTTCATCTTCAATAGTCGCCTAGACTCTATTTCGCTATTCGTGTGAAGATCTTAATGTTTACCGAAATGACTTGTGAAAGCTTAATTTCGTGTGTTCTGATAGCATTGATGTTCGTGGATTTTACTTGCAGTTCTCTTCTGACGATTCCATCAAGTGTGGGATATGAACAGAATCCGTTGAGTTTGTATTACTGCTATGAAACCGAAGGCTCGGCACAGCATTTGAAGAAGTGCATAGCTGAGGTTCTTTTTAGTATGAGCCATGTTTGAAAATGGAAAAATGAAATTGAAGCCAGATAGCTGCTTGTTTTACACTCATATTTTGTTGCTTCTGGTTCCTTGTTTTAGGTAACAAATACACCCTGGGGTGAGAGAGTCATATTTGTTTTCAATCCAAATTCTGATTTAGTAGCTAAGCCGTTGCATGTCAGTCCGTTTATGGTAAGTTCTGCTGGTTCTAGTCCCTATTATTATTATAACTTGTGTTATTAGTAGCTAATGATTCTTGTTTCTGATGGATGCTATTTCCAATTTGCCTGGACATAAAATTATTTTGTAGATTTCTTATGCTTATGCTTCTTTATGTAATTCCAAGCCAATCGTGTGATTTTTCTCGTTGGATTCTATACATACTGCAATTGACTAGGACCTGTTATTAATAGTT